TACAGTTATTAAAGGAATCCAAGAAGAAGAAGAAATATCTTCAAATGATTATCAATGAGTCCAAGAGATTGACTGAAATCATAGTTCCGATCTCTGTTTGTATGCTTTTAGTCATACTTTCCATACATTTCTTCCCAGTCTTTATCACAGGTATACTAAACCGCAATTGAAATGTTAAAGTATTTATTGAATGAATACTGAATTATAACTGAAATGTATGGCACCGTATGGTTGGACAGGATTTCATGATCTCTACGACGAACACATAGGACAGGGAAAGAACTCATCCGCTGGCGATATATTGACTTCAGCACTGATAATGGGATTGGTATTTGTGGTACTCATGGCTTGTGTGACATTTGTGATGGCAATTGTGATCATCTATGAGTTTACGCGTTGTATGAAAGCATTCTTCATATTGGCGTTTGTCATCTATTTTGGACTCTTCGGCGCCGGATATCTGTTTATAGCTGTCAGTGAGTATAACGTAGCCATGGATTGGATCTCTATTTTGCTCATATTATGGAACTATACCGGCGTTGGAATCATTGTATTCTTCATCGCCGGTCCAAAACTATTGAAACAAATATATCTCATACTCTTGACAGCAAATGTGGCTTTAATTCTGATGTTAGTATTGCCCAAATGGACTACCTGGGTGCTTTTGTTTCTCATGTGTGGTTGGGACTTATATGCAGTCCTTCACAAAACTGGTATTCAATAAAATTGTGTTTTTGTTTGTGAATGAATTTCAATTCTATGTGAATGTTAGGTCCGCTCAACAGAATGATGGCATCGATGGACACGAATGAGAAAGAAATGCCTCCTCTTCTCTACTCGACAGCCATTTGGGTATTAATGAGCGATAAGAGTAAGAAGAGGGACACAGACCACGACTCTGGCGTTCAGTTAGGTTTAGGAGACTTTGTTTTCTACAGTCTATTAGTGGGCACATCCTTCGCGTCGGGAGATCTGTTGACTGCAATCATGTGCTGTATTAGTATATTGGTTGGACTGGCCATCACTCTATTCATACTACTTATAAGGAATACCCCTCTGCCAGCCCTTCCCATATCTATAACACTCGGAGTTTTGACTAATTTTTGTGCCCAATATTGTGTCATTCCTTTCAATGATGCCCTTCAGGATAGGCTTATATTTATATAGATTTAAATTATATTCATTCATTGTTTTTAACTACTTTCTAAAAATATTTTTAACTTTAAATAGTTATAAAGTTCAAAATGCTGTTGATTTCATTATTTTAGAGTAAACCTAATAGAAAATAACTTATTTAAGTTATTCATTGAAATATATATTAATATATATAACTTAAAATAAAATTAAACTATTAAAATATATAACATATTGTATAACAATTTGTTATTAACAAATGAAATGGTATTTGAAATGAATGGCATTGAAGTTATAGCCACAGGGGCTCCGACTGTTCAGATTAAGAGCACGTGAAGGTGTCTTTCAGACGATAGGAAAATAATATAATTTGGATTTTTTTGATGATTTGATTTCTGAGTTGTTACTCAAACTATGGACAGGGATTACGATATTCAGTATATATTTCACAAAACTATTCTAAATAATATATTTTTATGGTAAATATTCACCTATTTGTAGTTTGTTGTAAAACTGTTACAATAATAATACCGGTAATATATTTTACTATACAGTAATTGATGATTGATAGGTTTTTAAAAATTAAATATAATGTTTTAAATATATATATTACTAGTAAATAGATATTAATTGTGTATTTAATTATGAGTAAATTTGTTAAAACATTTAAGTGAAAACATTTAATTTCACTAATATTTATATACTGTACAGTAATAGGTTTTTAGTTTCCTGTTTTAAATTTCAAATAATATACTTAAAAGTTTCTAAATATTGAAAATTATATTCAACATTCGTGAGTTTGTTATATAATATTATAATGAGTCTGCTAATGATATTTTAATTTCTTAATCAATACTTTTTTCTTTTAAAAAAAAGTTTAGCATTAATTTTATTTTTCTTTCTTTAAGTTAAAATAGAAACATTTAATTGAAAAGAAAAATCAAATCAACAAAACATACAAAAACTCTTAATTTATAAACTTTTCTTTTATATAAACTTTAAACAAAAAAGAATTTCTCAAATCATTAACTGTTTCTCAATTGTCTGTATTTAACTCTCTCTCTCTCTCTCTC